AGCTTGCTGCACGCAGTTAACAGCTTCCCTAAACTGGTTGCGGTGCAGAGCAAGGATAGCGCCAAAGAATGATCGGTCAGTCGAGTAGCGCTTCATGGACTGCAAATAGTTGTCCATTGAATCCCACTTGCTGAGGCCCCATGCAGCTGCGGTTGCAAGAGGAGCGATTAAACGCTGGACATCTGGCGAGGAGTTGGCCCAGGTATTGCCGGCGATGCCCGCTAGAGCCTCCCACTCGCCAAGAGCATGCAAACAGCGCATCTTGCCCATGATAATCTCGACGGGTACAGGCTTATCGTCAGGAACCTCCATTTCACGTTTTGTGTAAAAGGCAAGAGCCTCCTCCCATCTCTCTAGCTTCTCGAACCACGTCTCTCTAAGCTGGATTCCCTCTTTGTAAAGCTGCGCCTTACGGAGAATACCAATGGCTGCATCAGACTGCTGGAGTTGGTTGTTGATCACGATAAGAGCTTCAACCGCCCCGCTGCTTTGGTCCTGCAGAAATTCCAACTCCTTGTAGTGAAGAGCCTTCGCATAGGCGTGGCAGCGTGCAGCCTCTCGGCCGAGAACCCGAATGTCGATGGGCAATGCCTTGTCGTCGTGCTCCATAAACTCGGCAAGATTGAGCAAAAGACCGAGCAGATCGGGGGGAACATTCTCGGATTTAATGGCGCTTTCGATGTTCTGGATCAGCTCGTCCTGGAACTGTTCATACAGTTCGCTCCAGCATGACACGAATGCTGAATTGAACAACTCGCGCGCCAGCGGCAGGTATGAGCTGGCAAGAGCGGCGCAGGCGCGGAGCGCATGATTGGGCGACTCAGTGAGCAAGGTCGTGGAGAATCTACGAAGCCATTCCTGCCAATCCTCCTTGGTTGACTTGCCCTTCGTGTCCCACGCTTGCTTGAGATGGATGGCGTTCATCTCCAGCTTCTTCGCACCGAGATCAGCAAACGCTGCTTGGTCGTCAACACGATCAATAAACCGGTCTCCGGCACCAAGGTCTTGCGGGAGCACCTCGCCCTTCTGGAGCTTGGTGACTAGCAAGTCATAGTTCTGGTGCTGGATCTGATGTTGTGCGAGGACCTTGTTGACAGTACCCATGAAGTGGAGGTAATCCTTGCCGAGCTGCTGAATCAAGGCACAGAGGGTGTCCAGAGCTGCAACACGCAATGTGATATCTCCACTGCCCAGAATGCGGGTGAGAGGATGAATAATCTTGGCGGCGTAGTCGTTCAAATTGACCTGATACGTAATCTTGCCAATCGTCTCGATCGCTTGCTTCCTTAATGGGGTGGGCTGGCCTTGCTTCTCGAACGTCCTGACAATAACAGGAATGATCAAGTGCATGTACTCCTCAGCACTTGAGCCAAAGACGAGGAACGCGTGGAGGACCTTCTCAGACGGCGTCCGCCGCGTGGTGGCGTCCTTCTCAAGTACGCCAAGCATTAGGGGTAGCAACCCGGCGAGATAGATTTTGAATTCGCCCTCCAGTGAGCGGGAAATGGCTTCCACCAGACTCATTATCGTGGACTGGAGCGTACTTGTGGTGTTCCAGAATTCCTGACAGATTTCGACGATCTCGGGCAGAAAGTTTCTAATGTGCTGCCTGACGATAGAGACGAGTGTGGCCAGCTGGCTGAAGTAAGAATCGAGACGTGTCTTGTCTGCCGCACGAATCACGCCGAGGAAAGCCGGAATAATTCGGTCGAGGAACGATACACACTCCAGACCGAGGGTACGGAAGATATTCATGATGGCCTCAATGACAGACGCATGATGATTCGAAAGAGAGTTGTCCTTGAGGATCTGGAGAAGCGCATTGATGACAACTGTTGGGAAGTACTCTTTGCTGGATGGCGTAAGACCCGTCATCATAAGAGAAATATCCGTCATTTGAGTGCTCTCAACACGGCGCTCGGCATCGGGGCGACGCTGCTCCACCTGCTGGTACTTGTACGGGTCCAAGGCTCCCAGAATACCCATCAGCTTGATGGTCTCCTGTCGAAGAGGCCCGCGCTGACCTTCAGTGCGGATAATACCCTGGAGCAACTCCAGTAACTGAGGATATTCCAGATAGGGCTCGATGACATAGCCGGAGTTGCTGGCCAGCTGACCCAGAGCGTGGAGAGCCGCTTCGCGCTTGTTGTTTGAGCTCTGATCTTGCAGGGCTTCGATAATCAGAGGCATCAGCCTATCTTTGTATGGCAACACTTCTTCACCACCGACAGTCGCCAACTCGCCAATAGCCCTGAGAATTGTCGCGGCCACAGCAGCGCTGGGGTCGTTGGCCTTTGGGAGCAAAACCGACATCATCGGGTCAACGTATGGCTTGACCAGTCCCTGGGCATTCTGTACCAACAGGCTGAGCAGCTTTGCGCTTTCCTCCTTGTTTCTTGCGACATCAGAGAACTCAAGCTCGGTCAAAAGCTGAATGAGAGTTTTGCGCAAGGAAGGGATGACGTAGGCAGGGTTAAATCGGGCAAGACGACCGATGATGGAGATTGCAACCTCCCTGATGGCAAAGACTTCGTCGTTGAGGGCAAAGAAAAGGGTGCGGATGTTCTCTGCCTTGGCCAGATGTCTGTCAAAACGCTCATCGAGTGCTGCGAGGACTGTCCGTCTGATATTCGGCTCAGGGTCCGATACGCCCACCGTGAGCAGTCTTTCGATGACATCGCCAACAACCTGGAGTGCATGGTAACTTGTCTGGTTGACAATTGGATCGCGCACATAGAGCTGGCAGCAAGTAAGGGCAGCAGCCTCTCTTGTCTCCGGGTCTTCGTCCTCAACATATTTCACCGCAACGTCACGGACAAACTCGTTGAGAACATGCCCGGTGAAGTCAAAGCTGCCAAGTGTGTTGAGGGCAAGCTTTACTTCAGCTTTGCGGTGTTCGTAAGCCATAGGGTCTTTGGAGTCTTTTGGGACAGCGGGCACGGCTGTGAGAGTGTTCGGATGCGGGGCTCCCAGGGGCTTGAAAGGCTCTCCACAAAGGACCATGCTGAGCATATCGAGCAATCGGTTCTGAATGGTATCCTTGGCTGGCGGGATGTAAAAGGCCATGTCAACAAGGGCTTGGGTCAGCTTTGGCGTCAGGTCACATTCGAAAATGGGATCAAGAAGAGCCTCCATGTATTTGCTGAGGGTCTGGCCAACAGCAACAGCGAGGCGGCTTATGCACTCGAAGACTGCGTCGACCGAGCCCCTCTTGCGAGCTGCCAAGCTCAGGCCTTCCCTGACGTGGGTCATGACACCGTCGAGATACGGAGCAATGGCGCTCTTGACCGAGTTCGCAATATTGCCGATAGCAAGAAATGCGTCGTTTCTCTCCTTGTCCTTCTTGAGCATGCCGGAGAGGTAGACCATGAATTTGTGCAGGTAGCTTCGGTCAAACTCGGCGGGGGAGTAACTCGCAAGGTCGGGAATGAGGAGGACGACAGTCTTCCGAATTGTGACGTCGCGGTGATCCTTGTACCGCAAGACGATTTCGCACGCTTCGGGATAGTGCTCTTGCATAAACATGCCGCCCTGTTCGAGGAGCTCCTTGAGCATGAGAAGTGAGGCGTGAATGTACTCGACGGTGCCGTGCTGCAGTCCGCGCAAAAGTTCGGCGTAAGCCTTCTCCATCCATGTCTGCTTCAGTTCCTGGTCTCGCTCTCTAATGATCCGGAAACAGGCAGCAACAGTCTCGGCAGAGGTGGCGCGAATAAGGTGGCGGTTATCTCTCAGACTGTTCCAGATGAGGTCAAGAACCAGGCCGACATAATTGTACATGAGGGTAGGTGCTTGTCTTGCCAATTCGCGCAAGACAAGGGCTGCACTGTAGCGGCGCTCCTCAACTCGTTCGCTCTGCAGCCATTCAAGGGCCATCTGGGTTTCGGACTCAACCAGTTCGCTTATCATAGAACCGCCTGGTCGGCACATTTTCCCCAGGGCAACAGCAGCGGCCTGCATCGGGTTGATATCCTTGCCGCGCAGTATTGTCTTGAGGTTTTGGTTGAAACGGGCGAACATCTTGGTTGACTGCTCGGACACTTCAATATCGACGAGGGCGTCGAGGGCGTAGACGCCGCCCAAGCGTTCGGAGGAGTCATTTCCGTGAGAGATGAGCTGTGTGATTTTATTGTTGACATGCCCGTAGATGGTGTTGAATTGTTCGAGAGGGAGGTCTGCGAAGATGGCATGTCAGTTGGCTGTAGTAGGCAGAGCCGGGGTCGAGGTGTGGATGGTTTCACCTCGATGACAAACCAGCACGAGCTCTCTAAGCTGTAATGCTGCTCGCTTTCGAACATCATCCGAGGTTCTGGAGGAGAATTAGAAGCTATGTTCAAGGTCCAACTTGATGAGGGGCGGGGAGGCCTACCGAGACCTCAGGTCCCTGACAAGATTGTCAAGTCGCTCGAGAGCGATCTGTTGTTGGGTCGCCATGGCTCACTGGCTGGCGCACCCGAGCGTTCGAGAATCAGAGTGAGAGAAACATCGACTGGCGGCCAAGGGAAAGGTTTGTGATGGCGAGAGTTCGGGAGAGGGAGGCGTTTGATGGTCGATTTCGGGTTCGAATGCGAGGAGGTGGCGCGCTGCTGACCGCGAAAGAGGGGGAATATTGTCGATGGGTATCTGCGTCGAGTCGGCGGCTGCTTGTTGCCGAGCAGAAGGGCGTACAGAAGCACAGTCGTGGGAGTAATACGAAATAAGAAAAAGGCGGGATGTAGTCCTGAGGACAAAGTGAAGAGCCTCAATTGATGGGAGGTACGAGAACCAAGCCGAGAGCAAGACCAGACTGCAAGTGACGGAAAGTGCGACAGCGGAATGGAGGGTCAACCGTGGGAGGCAGCAATGGCGCAAAGAACGGGAGGTACTTTGGTGAAGTATACTGTGCTCACACAGTTAGCCAAGCGTATTGCTGCTTGTGGAACTTGGAGCTTGACGCACTGTATATCTAATTCCCCACTGTGGCACCCAATTCCTAAACCGAGGAGGTTCCACAGCGCGGTCGCAGTAGAGGAAGCGCATCATTGCTACACCTGGAGCTCGTCCATTCCTAACCTTCTCTCCTTATCTTATCGGCCAGCGGGTGGCACAGGGATACCGAAGTACTGTGACCATGCGACGGGCCGTTTTCTGTGTGGATAGGTGATGATTCCAACAGTTGACCATTACGACGACTCGCGAAACTATCAGTACCTACTGATTTCGCCACCACAAGTTGGACTCTATTGATATTGGACCACAGACCCATCCAGCTGCGACCTTTGTTCCGTATCTCAGCACCGCATCTCCCTCCTCGTTTGTCCACCACTCGCCATGGGTAACGACGGAGGCTCCATTCCCAAACGCCGCGAGCTCGTCAAAGAAGCTGCCCGCGCCCTCACTGTCAGCGAACTGAAAGCGAATGCCCTCGAGTCCCTTGGACATGCCTGGAACAATGACCCCCTGACAGGCCAGCCCCTCGACAAGGACAATGTAGTCTCGGATTGGCGTGGGCGCCTCTACAATTACGAGTCCATCCTCCAGGGCCTTATGCCCCCTGACGATAACACCGAGTCACCGCCGTCCAACCCCGATTCTGAAGAGCTCACATTCGCCTCCACCGGCATCAAATCATTGCGCGACATCGTGAAGCTGCGGTTTCACCGACATACTCCGCCTGGGACGAAAAAGGATGTTTGGGCTTGTCCTATCTCTTTGAAGGAGCTAGGCCCCTCGGTCAAGGCCGTTTACCTCGTTCCCTGTGGCCATGTGTTCGCCGAGCTTGCTATCAAGGAGATTCAAGAGTCGAGATGTCCCGAATGTAGCGAAGAGTTCAAAAGCGAGAACGTGGTCCCCATCTTGCCAGTGGAGGAATCTGAGCTTAGAAAACAAGTGAAAAGAATGGACGACTTGAAAGCCGCGGGACTCGCCCACAGCTTGAAAAAAGACAAGAAGGATAAAAAGAAGAAGCGGAAGGCCGAGGATGACGCCCAGGAGGGCAGTAAAGCAGACAAAAAGAGGGCAGTAGATGAGTCGATCGCCGCAGACTCTGTCAAAAAGGGGGCTTCCGGAAGGATCAGCGGAATCAACAATCCCATGGCGGCATCATTAACAGCCAAGGTGATGGCCGAGCAAGAAGAGCTCAGCAAGCGGAGAAAGATGGCCTCCTCGAGAGGGTAGTACCCCGGCGCTGGTAGACAAATGTGAAGAAAAGCAGTTATTCCAGACGATACCCCACCACCCCCAGACAGCATCATCGTTCTCAAGATAACCTACTCTGGGAACGGCGATTTGTCAATCAGTGCGCAATAAAACGGTTTCGCGATTTCTAATGCAGCCCTTCTAACTAGTTGTACTCGGTCCAAGTCAGACGACCCTTACGCCAAGCTAAGCAGACCCAAATGCTAAATCTTTGTACACATCCCATGCGTGTCCTCGTTCCGTTCCTTTACAGCTCATCCTTGTCCTTGGGCTCAGGAGGCTCGAGCAACTCATCGCAAGCGGCGGGCGTGCCTACCTCCATCTTGTAAACGCACTTTTCCGATTCCGAGACCTTCCAGAGCTCTTCTGTCTCGCTGCAGGCGAGCCAGACGTCAGTACGTCTCTGCGGGCCATTCCAGCAGCCCTGGCCGTTCTCGTAGCGGAGGACCATACGAAGGCCCTTGCCGAGGCTCTTGCCGTCAACGCGCTCCTCGTCGTCGGCCATCTCCTTATCGATGCGGACAAAGTTGCCCATGTTGGTATGGCCGCCGCCCTTCTTGGACTTTTGGTTGGTCTTATCCATCCAGCAGAGCTCGTATTCGTACTCGCCGACCTCGGTGCTGACACACTTATCCTTGAGAACGCGGAAAATGTCATCGGTGCCGTAATCCTTCTCGAGGTCCTTCTGCTCACTGTCTAGCTGACGTTTCTTGTCCAGAAGATCGCCATTGGCGGAGTTGAAGGCTTCGCGAGCAGCCTTGACCAGACGAGATTCGGTGTTGGGTTTGTTGTTATCAGCCATCAGACCATTCTCGATCATCCAGACGCGGAGGGAGAGGAGCTTTCCATGGATAAACTCGCGGACAGCGTCGGGGAGGTAGGCCTCAAAGTTGTAGACTGGGATTTGTTAAATGATGCGCTTGACGATAGTTCAGGGGCTTACATACTAATATCGGTGTCGGAGACGTCATCCTCCTCGAACTCTTTCCAGTTAATGCCCGAGGTCTCAGAATCCTCGACAAGGACCTCCTTGATGTCAGCCTCCAGGCCATCGGGGAGGGCCTCGTTAGCAAGGTTGGCGGCGTAGTCCTCCCAACTCTTCACGGCGCGCTTGACGCCCTCGTCATTGAAGTTTGGATTGTACTCCTCCTTGAAGCGGCTGAGAATGCCCTCAAGCTCCTTGACTTTGTTCTGGAGCTCGTTGCGGTGGGCAACGACGTCCTCGAGTGTCTCACGGAGCTCGGTGACACGGGTCTTGGCCAGGTTCAGCAGGGTGCCGAGCTTTCCACCAGAGCCCTCGCCCTTGACGACCTTGCCCTTCTCAGAACGCTCAATCTCATGCAACTTCCGCTCAAGCTCATCCTTGCGGATCTCGAGACCCTTGACCTCATCCTTGAGGGTATTGACCTTGGCCTCAACACGACGGCGGAGCTCTCTAGACTCTTTGGCCATCGTCTTGCGTCTCTTAGCAGCTTTATCGATGGCATCCTTACGCGCGGCCTCAACGCGACGGTACTCCTTGCCAATCTCGGCGCACTTGTTCTCACACTTGACCCCGCCGACACCGCTGTACTCCTCGGTTCCGTCGCAACAGACATCGTAGTCACAATGGCCATCGTTGACGAACATGAAGGGAACATATGTGCCAATGTGGCCGGCGTTGGCACACCAAAAGCCGGGTAGGGCATTCGTGGTGTTGGTGGTGCCCGTCAGGGAGCCGGTGAAGGGCTGAGGAGGGGATAGGGCGTCGAGGTAGGCGCAAGCTGCAGTGCCAGGCTCATCGGAGCCATCTGGACAGTCACACGTGTTGTCGTTGACCTGCTTAATGCTGAGTTTGATCTCGGGGTGGCCGATACAGGAGAAGGTTTCTTTGGCCTCGAAGAACTTGATGACTGAAAGAGATCATGTTAGTGACAGATCACAGACCGCCAAAGAAAGGCAGATGTCAATTGATGGCGTAAAAAGGACAACATAACCACAGAGAAAAGGGACAATCCATTCCCAATACGAGCGGCATTGAAGAGCACAAGCCCTTTGATCCGGAGTCCAATGCGTAGGCGGTAAATACTTACATTCGGGGCCAACACCTCTCGGCAAACTAGTGGCCGAGACAGGTGCGGCGGCAGACAGGAAGGTGCCAGCAAGCACCAGGCTGTAGCTTTGGCGCATCTTGATCGGGGTTCAGGGCACCGTAGCTCTCATCAACACCCAAAATTCAAATCAGAGTTGTCGTGGTAATTGCTGTGCCAGTGAATCTGTCCAGATCCAGACCGAAGGTGGAAGGAAGTCTGGAAGGCAGAGAAGGTCAGGTATAGGGAGAGGAACGTCCAGCAAGGTATGGGGCTGCTTGGAACTTCCAGCTCACCCAAAACGCTTTAGGTGGGTTTCAACGGACAGGGGCGCGAGCTGGAGCTGGGACGCTGCTGGCTGCAGGGACAGTCACGTGCGTGGTGGGTCACCGTTGAGTAGAGCTCCACCCGCGTCATTGTGAGAGTGTGGAAGTGAAGGGACAGAAGGATGATAAAGCACTGACCAGGCGGGAAGTCAGAAGAGAAGAGACAGACAGAAAAGTACGTATCTTACCCCTCCAAAGGCGCGGGTGCGGGGCAAAATGGTTTTTGCTGGTATCTCACTTTTCGATGATTCTTCAAACCAATATTTGTGCCTGTACTGGTCGATGGGAGGCTAGTCACGAAAGATCCTCCTTCCAAGTCGACCTTCCACGCCAACGTCTGCGGGAGACGGGACTACCCTCATTTTCTCCATTACACAAAAATCCAAAGAGTATCAAACAACATGGCTTCATCGACCGCCAACAGCTCGCCGGCTGCGCTCAATGCGCTGACAGACACGGCCATCGCACTTATTCAACAACTCGAGGCGGTGCTATTTGCTATCAACAGCGGCAAAGACATGCCTCAGCAGACCGAAACCTCCTCCGTTGATTCCTTGCGGCTTGCCCGCGACTCTGCGTCCCTAATCAAGGCTCACTCTACCAAGATCTCTGTCCTTATTATCAACGAGCCGTTTACGCCCTCGGCCATTATCAAAGTCCTCCGCGAGCTCGTCAGCGGGCCCATTCCGGGCATAGCTACAGCCGCCCAAGCATGCGACGCAGGGCGCTACACCTCGACTGTTCGAACCGATCTGTCCTGGAAGTGCTACACTGTGTTGAAGGAACTCAGGGGCTTCGTGGAAAAGATCCCCAAGGATGGCAAGATTCTTTCCTCGGCGCAAAAGTCAGGGTCGGTAGACACTTCTGGCAAGGGCAGCATGGCTGCTACAGGTGTCATATGGTCTGCCTGCGATGAGGTTACGCAATTCTGCAACGGCGGAATTGGCGGCTGTTTCGTCAAGAAGGTTGAGGAGTTCAGAGCGACGCTAAAGGATGTTATGGAGGAACTCAAGGAATGGGGTGAGGAGGAGCCTGATGACGAAGAGAACGACGACGACGATGCTGATGATCTGGACCACGACTCTGCGCTGGGCTCCATGATGCCTTCGGCCCAAGAAATGATTGACGACATGATGTCCGGTCAGGGTGCGATTCCCCGTGACGACCCCGACAAGATCCGCGACCGCCTCGAGTCCTGCCTGAAGCGCCTCAGGCTCACAACACTGCTCTACCAGGCCATTATCAAGAGGCGGCTGAAGGCTCTTCCCGAGCTCCCTTCCGACAATTCCGACATCCCCAAGCGCCTTGACGAGGCGATGCGCATTCTCAGGAAGTTACCGCACATGTTTGACGAGCTTGCTGGCGCATTTTATGAGCTCTCGCCTGACGAAATCGATCAGGTCATGGCCCTGTGCTTCAACGAGATTATTGCGCTTTCGGAGCTGCTAAAGACACCTTGGTCTGGTGAGACCGACGAGTTTTCCGAGTGGGCAGTCAAGTTCCAGGCTGAGATGAAGAAGGGCTGAGGGCCCCAAACCAGCCTGTACATAAGCATGAGCTCGTATCCAGACACACGCGGGAGCTAAGGAGGTCTCACCTTCCCCATGCAACATGTTCACACGGCTGAGAGGTTTCCTGGTCTGCGAAGTTGCGGCCTATGAGCAAGGAAGGGGCTCATTGCGCCGTGCTCCATGACCGATTCGAGGCAGTGATTCGTCAGTTGACGCTAAGCTGAGCAGTGGATAGTGGTCGCGAGGCTATCGGTCTAAGACATTGTGAGTTGGAGTCTTTGAGGGACACCATCACCTGTCAGATGTGGGGGAGCACCGCGGTCACGGGTAACCAGCCAGTCATCTGCTTCTTTGTGCGGATTCCGCACATGGCCTGCCTGCTAGCTGCCTGCAGAAGAAGTCAGGGAATGTACATAAACTCGTCTAGCCAACAGGGTAGAGTACAATATGGTATGCCAGAGATCATAGCGAAATGGACAGGGAAAGGGGTGTGGCCGACGTTCCGGGAGTGCCCAAGGGCGACCGCGGCCTCAAAATCGCAGTACGGTTCAATCTCACTTCTGATCCTATGCACCACCCTCCAAGTTTATGCACTTACGCGCCGTAACTCTAGATCGTTTTCGTAACTATCAGCAGCAAAATCGCTCACATTGCCACCGACATTCTCACGCTCCCATACAATCGCTTCTACCAGCAGAACACTTTGCTGCCTATACTGGCAATTGCAAAAGCCGTCGAGGATCGCGAGAACGATGAGGAAATCTCAGCCCAACTCAAGCGGTGGCGAGATCGCAAACTAAGCGAGTTCCAGCTCGTCCAAGTTGCTGTACGTCTCACGGTTCTCTGCCGCTCTCTACATGCCAAATCGAGCATCCCCAGGTAACTGACCGTTGTTAGAGCACCTTGATCTCTGCCGCCGTCATCGGCTGCTTCTCTTGGCCACCCCCGGACTCGCTGCATTGGCTCGGCCCGGCATTCTGGGACGCCAGCATCTCTTTCTCGCTCTTCTCAATCCTGCTCGCTGCCTCGGAGCAGTTCATTTTCCAGACGCTCCACCGTTCGCCGACGCCGCGCAACGTTGACAAGGAGCTCGCCATGATCCTTTACATCCGTCGCAGTAGAAAAGTCGAACCACTGCACTCACCCCTCGAGGAACTACCGCCCATCCCGCAGATCCGCGCCATCAAAATTAAGGACAAGGGGGGGTGGTTCCCCAAGGAGATGCCGCTTGTCGAGATTCGGTGGAACATGGTCTTCACCTGGCAGGCGCCAATGATGCTCATGGCGTACTCGGCGATTTGCTTCCTGGGGGGGTTGACGGTCTACGTCTGCGCGCCGCTGTACGATGGGCAGGGATGGGTTGGCGCAAGCAAAGTGAGTGTCTTCCGATTATGTTTGCTTAACAGTGTGGTTGCTGACTGCGCCAGGCGGCCGTGTTCTACCTTGTCAGCTTCTTCTTCTGCGGAATCACCTTTGTCTGGTGCGCATTCTGGGCATATCGCTTTGTCGACCTCGGAGATCCCTGAGCCTCGATGCTCCGGGTTTCAAGGATCGCACACGTACTCATGGGACAGGGCAGCTATAGGCGCATGCAATGCAAGTCGCAGCTTTGACCGAATGACTCACGCCGGTGGTATACTAGACTCACTCTGGTTGGCAACAACCCCACAGTGGAGACGCAGCAAGTTCGGATTCATGACTGAAGACTTATAAGAAACCTATCTAATAGTCTAATTGCCTCGTCACATAGGAGAGTGAATTTCCACCTAACGTCGCAGACGGTCAGACTTAACACATTGCAATACTTGAATAAAAAATGCCCTGCTCTGTAGAAGACATCTTGAGAAACTACGAGTATGATCCCTCAATAATACAACGCATCGCCACACGAAAGGTCAAACTTGCCCTGGCTATCGAGCCCCCGAACCCCGAGTGGCCGGCGCAGTTCGAGAAAATAAAATCTCTCATCGATGGCGCTCTCGGTCCGGTCGCTTTGTCCGTAAATCATGTCGGTTCAACCTCCGTGCCCAGGCTCCCAGCCAAGGCCGTCATCGACATCGACTTGGTTGTAGCGGACCCCACGGATGAAGACGCATACGCGCCTGCTTTGGAGCGGGTAGGGTTTCAATTCCTCGTGCGCGAGCCAGAGTGGCATGAGCACCGCTTTTTCGCCATGTATCAGCCGTACCATTGCAACTTGCATGTGTTCAAGGAAGGCACGGCGGAGTTAGTGAGGCATATTATCATGAAGGAGTGGCTCATTGCGAATGATGATGATAGGGAGCTGTATGCAAGGACCAAGATGGAAGCGGCGGAGGTAAGCAACTCGCTCAGAGAGGAGGTGATGGACTACAATCTTCGGAAAGAAAATGTTATCCGGGAGATTCTCCAGCGTGCTTTCAAGGCGAAGGGATACCTGAATCATGAATGAAATGGCGTACGAGTGACCCATTTCAAGTGTTGATAGAACGACTATATAAGTGTGAGCCTAACTAGACGCTCCACTACTTCATGAGATAGCATTCAATATAAGTTTGGAGGTCATGCAATCATCTATACAAGAGGGATCTATATTTTGCTGCATCTCTCGTATGTAACGACCAGTCCTGCATAGACTCCTATCACAAAGTATCAGTGAACCCTTGGGTCTAGAAACTCCTCAAAGCGAGGACGCTCAGAAGTTGAATCCGAGAATGCATTCCGGCCCTTTCTCACCATTTCAAAACTCAAATGTTCAAACGATTCAAAGACAAATAAATAGGGCAATGTCAGTTATAAGACGGTGTCCCAAATCATTCTAGACGTTGAAGGTGATTCACTAGACTCAGTTAGATATATTTACAGTGGTGACAGAAACCCGCTTCGGGCCTGGTAAGCCTTTCCAAAGTTGCATGAATGAACAGTGTTTCAATATATACCAGATTCCCATCATGAAAGAGTAGAGCTTCTTCGCAAATATATCAAAAGGGTAGATAAGAAACGATATCACAACAGCCTACCCGCCTCTTTAGTTTGTCCCCGCTTGCTCCGCTTGTAGTAGGGCTTGTGAGTTTTCTCCCACGCATGCCTAACATCCAGGACCTCTGGCTGAACTGGCAACACTGTCAACTCTAGCACAGCAGCACATCGTCCACACGTCGGCCCTCTGGCGCAACGGTAGCGCGTCCGACTCCAGATCGGAAGGGTATCTGTTCGAATCAGGTGGGGGTCAGGACTTTTGCCGTGTCGATGTCGCGATTTTTATTAATATCTCCTACAACCCCTATCTTACCTTGACCGCAACCAGCAGCTACGCTGCTAATAGCGCTGAAGGTTCTCTGCTCTATGCAGTGTAATTTATATATCTACCTTGTTTAAGCATAATCTAACTGTAGTTACCTATTAAAATATTCCTCTAAACAGAGAGGGCATCTTTATATTATATTAGCTAATATAATATTAATTAGTAGCTGTTGGCCTCGCTAGCCTCTAGTTAGTACATATAATAATAATAATAATAATAATATTATTTAACGCCTAAGAAGTCTATTTAAGTAGCAAAGGGCGCCTATATAGCCTATCTACTAAAACTAGCCTAGGGTCCCTCTAAAGAGGGGTTCTAGGCAAAACAATATCCTTTGTTAATAGTGTAAATCCCTTATTAAGAGCCTAGGAATTAGTGTTTTCCTCCTAAGAATATATATAAAGTTTAAGATACTAGGTAATTACTATATAAGGGGGACAAGGTATAGTTTAAATAGAGAAGGGATAAGGTGTCTAGTAAAGAGGAGGTAGTAAATAGTAGAAGTTATAAGTATTCTTTACTAAGAGGTAAAGTAATATAGTTAAATAGGTAATAGATTTAATGCCTATCTAAGAGCTAGAGCTATAGCTAGCAACAGCTAGTCTTATAGACTAGCGACAGGTGGGGCCTAGTAGGGCACTAGCTGTTAGCAGGATATTAGCCTAACTAATAGATCTACTAGCAAGGCTAAGAAGTAGATCTAAAGGTTAGCTATATATTGTCCTATAACAAGTGCCCCCCTAATAATAAAAATAATTATTATATAGTAATTATTTAATATTACTAGCTAATAGGGTAGTTAACTATATACCTTAGGCTTCTATAAGACTATTATAGCTATTATAAAAAGGGTATACCTAAGGGTTAATAGTTAAAGGTTAAGAGTCTTTATTATAGTTATTATTATTACTATAACTATTACTATATTTATTATTACTATATCTATCTCTATAGTTATTAAAGTCCCTATATTTATTAGTGTCTTTAATAGTGTCTTTATTATTACTACTATAATCCTAGTTATTATTACTAGCTAGGTAGCTAGGTTAGTACACTAGTTAGTTAGGTATATACATAGGCTAACTATAAGTTAGCTAACTATAAGTTAGCTAACTATAAGTTAGCTAACTATAGGTTAGCTAGCTATAAGTTAGCTAGCTAGGTGTATATAAGTATAGGTATAGACTTTAGGCTAGCTAACTATAAGCTAGCTAGCTAGGCGTATATATAGGTTATTAATATATAGGTTAGTTAGTTATATATATAGGCTAGTAGTATTAATAGTTATATACTAGCTAATAATAGGAGAGTTAGCTAGATGCTAGTTAACTATAGGTAAGTTAGCTAAATACTAGTTAACTATAGGTAAGTTAGCTAGAAGTAGGCTAGCTATTAGCTACTAGCTAGCTATTAAATTTATTAAAGTTATAGTAATAATCCCCTATATAAATAGATCTATTGTTATTATCCTAAGGACCTGTCTCTATAGTATAACTAGTAGTATTATTATCTTTATTATCTTTGTTTTTATTATATTTATCTAGGGTTTTTTAACTATAGTACTATATAGCTTTATAAGGTAGTAGTAGTAATAGTAGGCTATCTTAGAGCTAGTAGACTTGTTACTAAAGGGACTAGATTTTCTTTTTTTGTTTTTAAAGGCGCTAATAGATAGGTTTACCTCTAGGTAGGTAACCTCTTCTAAATCTAAGGTATAGTTAATATAGCTTCTAAAGGTGTAGCTAGTGTAGTTAAGTATACGTTAGTAATAGTGTTAGTAGTAGTAGCTTTAAGTATCTTACTACTAGCTAAGGGTTTTATATATCTATTGCCTATTTATACTAGTAGTAAAGTATATCTTTATAGTTTTATATTAGTATTATCCTTTAGTAAAGGGTATTAATAGTAGTATTAAATCTAGTAATAGTAAAGAGGGTTAGTACTACTAGTAATATAGTATAATAGCACTAGTAAAGAGAAGTAATAATTAAAACATAGGTCCTATATTATTTAAAAGCTAATTTTTAACCTAGCTATTACTAGCCTTTTACTAAGGGGTTAGTACCTTTTTAATATTATATTTATCTAGCCTTACTAGGTAAAATACTTACTAAACTATATTAGGAATAATATTCCTTTAACTTACTAGGTCTACCTAGGACTTTAAGGTAATTACTTATTATCTTATAATAATTATACCTCTCTCTTATATAACTGTCCTAGTTATACTACACTAGCCTTAATCTAGTATATCCTTAAAAAGGTTTAGCTAGCCTATTAGCTATCTATAGGGCCCTTTGCTTCTCCTTAGAGCTACCTCTTTAAGCTTTACTTCTCTATTATTTATTTACTTTTATAAACTTTATCTTCTTTTTCTTATTATAGCCTTTTATTAAGTTCTTATACTATTATTACTACTTTTTTTTTTTTTTACTAGTGTTTTATTAGATTATTAATTTATCTTTTTTTTTAGATTTTTAATAACTAATTCTTAATAAATAATAACTAATATAATAGTAAGACTTAGCTAATTCCTTAGATTATAAGAGAAGAATTTATAGTGCACTAGCACTAATCCTTTAATAACTTATCTTAATTAAGCTATTTATAATTAGGCTATATATTAGAAGTAATTAGCTAGACTTTACTATACTTAAG